GGTGAGTGCTTATCTGTCGTATGTACTTCTGTGAGAGGAATATCAAGACAAATAAGATGTTCCAGGGCATATCATGGGATTATGAGCTTGGCACTGACTGAATTCTGCTTAAAAATAGTTGAAACGATAAATACAAAAAAAATAATAAAAAAATCTACGCTGGTATTTTGAGGCTTGAAGAGCGTCGGGTTTTAAATATTTTAATTGTAAAGTGTGAATAGAAAATGAACGCTCGAGTCTATAAATGGGACAAACAAGATGAGAGGAAAAAATGTTCCTAATTTAAACAGTTAAAACAATATAATTCTATTCTAATGGTACAATGGACTGTGAACTTACTTTGTATTAATTAAACTCATTGTAATGGCATTTTCTATATTGAAATGAATAACCAGTGATCTGGAAATTCATTTAGACCATTAGGTTAATTACAGAAACCGATGGAAGTTTTATCAGACAATTACAATTAAAGAACACGAACAATGTGGGACAGATTTATAAGCATTTGTACCACCTCAATCATTTTTGCTGAATTCTAGCACCACTTCTTCCAAAATTTTAATCAATATATCAATTAAAAAATGGGCCATCAACTTCATTTGCCCTTGAGTATGATAGATTAAAATGAATTAATATCGGATTTCTGCATTTTAATATTTTTCTTCTTTTAATTCCATCAGTTGATTGCAGTATGAAAGATTTATTTAGGAGCTGATGAGCATGCTTACTGAAGATGAAACAACTCTAACATTTAGAAAATCTAAGCCAAAATTGACTTCAGTTTAAAATGTACTCACTGAAGTCAAGGCAAAATTCTCTTTTATGGGCCTGCTAAGCATTTGAGAAATAGAGGCATTCATCAGCACAACATTCTGAATAAAGGCATGTAGAAACTTAAATTATTTTATCATACCTGTCAGCTAATCAGTCCAGTGAACTGCCCCTTTTAATATATGCTCACAAAAATCCACATACCTGCCAACTCAAGTACCTTTATGCTTACTTGGAGCTAAAACAAAGCCTAAAAGTTTCAAAGTTCTGATTTAGAGAGTAAAAACATATTTAACTGCCTTTGAACTTCCCTTTAAATTTTAAATTCCATCTCACTCCCATTGCCTTCTGTGGGACCTGGGGGATGCACAGCTGGACATTTCTGAGATGTGATGCACAAATTCAGGCTGGGGCTGCTTCACTGCACCAGTGCTCAGGTTTGGTGAGCCCAGGAACACTCCTTGGTTAGTCCAGACCACAGAGATTTCCACTGACATCTCCTTTTCCATGCCCCGGCAGAGAAGGGGCAGGGAGGTGATCAGGGCTCTTCACATGCTGGGAAGACAAGAGACAGCAAACGCGACTTGCAAGAAGAGAAGTTTCCACTTTAGGTCATTCCAGTGTTGGAACAGATGACCCAGGAACGTTGTGCCACCTCCATCCTTAGAGGGCTCCTGGAGCAGCCTGGTCCTTCCAACCTCAATTACTCTACAATTCCACAACTTTGCGTCTTCCTGCTTTCCCACACTTTGGCTCTCATGAAATTCTACTTCATTCACACTTTCAGGTACTTCCATATTACAGAAAAATAGGCACAAAGCAGTTTTCAGAAGTCCTTGTAGCAATTCGGATTTGCATTTTTGCTGGTTTTGAACCATACATACCCAGCCACGTCACTGTCCTTGGCAGGACAGCGACACAGACATTCAGGGACAGAACTTTTTTCTTCTCTTGAATCTTCCTTTTTCTCATGGATCCTACTCACATGTGGCTTCAGTGTGGAAAAGTTCCAAAATTATCCTTGATACATTTCTTATTTACCAGGAGACACAAATTTCTCTGGAGTTTCAAAATTCCCTGTGGAAGCCACTAGTTTAAAGAAGTGAGGGCAAGGAGAGACTGTTGGTTACGTGGAGCCAAACTGTTTTATTTACTAAGTTCCAGTGAGATATCACAGGCCTCCAGGAAGCTTCCAGTGAATGCTTACTCACAGGGATTTGGTGTCCTCTAATCATTCCTGGCTGGATATAACTCCTTCCATGACTGTCTGCATTCTGCATTAAGATAATGATGCAGGATTTAGCTGAAATCTCTTGTATCAGTCCTATCCTGAAGATGCCAATACCACGGGAATCTCTGGCAGCCAAGGTGAGACCCTGAGTTTCCTGCCTTTGGTTGACTCAGTAAATCAAAGAACCTGTCCCACCCTGGGATGTGAACACACTGTCATGCTGAAACTCTGCCTTCTACATAACAAATTATCTATTCCCAGAATAGATGTGCAAATGAAAAACTGATCCAGGTCCCATCTTCTTCTTCAGCATAAGAGAACAGATGAGGCATGAGAGACTATTGCTACTGATTTGTTCCACTGCTTGCAGAAGAAACAGCTCATTTCTCTCTGTATTATGCAAAGGGCCAGAAGTGATGGAAGGAAGCAGAGCCATGTTTCCATCTCCTGACACATTCAGAGGTGTAACTAATCACTGTACTGGGAAATGTACAGTATGAGACATGAAATATATCCTGGAGAAATATCAGAAGGGAAAGAGCAGCTCCGAGAATTGTGCTCTGCTTTCTGGAGAGCCAACGGGGTAAAAGTGTTCAGAGTCATCAGAGACTACAAGTGACCAGTACAATTAAAAGCCAAAATGTTAAGTGAGAAATAAAGTGAGCCAGAATTCAGAAAAATACATCTCACAACCAAGTTTCAGTCCTTTATGCCTTAAAACTTGGGACCAAAAGATGAACAGTCAAGTTAGACAGGGACTGTCCTCTTCCAAATATCTGAAAATTCCTATATGTCATTAGCATTTAATGAACTTGAAATATCTCAGATGGCTTTAAAATAACCTCAGCAGACTCTTTCCCTTCTGTTAAAGCAATTACAAATTTAAAGTCACTTAATTCTTAACATTGTAAGCGGTTCTAAAATATCACACAGTTACAATATCAGCAGTAACAGAATAAATGATTAACAAATTCTTCAGAAATGAAAGTTGAAATATTGTTGTCTACCTGGAATGATAATAGTACAAGTATTGATTTCCTAGACACAAATGTTGACTTATCAGTTATAATTCCAATATTGAAATGTGCATAAAAAATGGAATATAGAAGATCTTTAAAATAATAAAGGAAATGAGACAAAAGTCAACCTTCATTTCTATTCCACTTTTGGTAGAATTTCCTATAGAAATGAAACTATTTTGCATCTTTATTGAAAGTTTTGTAATATGGAGAAATAAAAAACCTAATTACAATCATTAGTAATTGTAGTAATTTCGTGTTATTAGGAGTTGTGACCCTGGGGGGGAAACTGCATTTTGGCAAGATAAAATACTACACATAATAAAAGAAAAATCCTGACTTGCATGCACAGAGATTCAACAAAAGTGTAATAATTTCTTCTGCAAGGGCTACCAGCAATGTCTGTTATGAAACTGTGCATTACACATTGCCCAGTGGGAGGCAGATAGGCAAAGTCTGTTTACTTATGTATTTGGCATAATTGAAAACAAACAGGTGTTTGTTAGGATATCATTATTCAAGGAGCACCACTGCAAAATAAGATTTTTCACAGGGATTGACTCAGGAGACATAATGGAAACAGTGAAGTACAGAGCTCAGGGAGCTTGCAGCTACTCTCCAGGGATTTGATACTAGTGGGAATACCATGTGATGTAAACAGCAACTCCACAAATAAATGTACCAGTGATGTAATAGGAGCAACAGGGCAAACTTATGAAGGGCTTTTTTTAAAAGTAATTTTCAGAAACTTAAAACAAACACTGCCCCCTCTCCTCCAAAATAAGCTCCCTAACAGCAAGATGAGTGAAATGTTTGGATCATTTTCTGGGAAAACAATTTCAGTCAAAGATTGATATTTTGGTCTAAAAGGAACAGTGCACTAAAAACATGTTAAAAGGTGTTAATTTGAACAATAAGTACTAGACTGCTGATTCAAAAGTGGATCCCATACATATCCTGGAAAAGCAGCAGCTCTAAGGATGACACGGATAACGTTTGACATAAGAGAATTACATGACTGTAGAGATGTTCACTATGGAACTCTTTTGTCCTCATTCCTGGTTTTAATTTAAAAAAATAAATTAATTATTTTGGTAGTCTAGATAAGCTCTAAAAGAGTAGAACTGCATTCTAGACTGAATGCAACCTTCATAAAGAGCATATCTGATAATGTTAAATCAGACAATGTAAAGTATTTTCTTTCCAGAGCACTACTGTGAGCACAGAGCCAGGGCAATTACTGCTCCTGCATTCAGCTACAGCCTTCTTATCTGACCAGGAGCCAGAATGGGCATCACTGGCACCACCAATACCATCTAAAACACTCTCAGAAGAATCAGTTCTGCTTCTGGATTTCAGAGGACACATTTCCACTCCAAAGTTTTGTGTAGAAAAACGGCTGATGGCAGCATCTATCGTTTCAGCTTGTCTCTGCTATTTTTATTAGGGCAGCTTTTTATAACTCAAAATACCCACTTCCATACAGGCTGTTCCTTTTGTTAAAAAAAAAAAAAAAAAAAAAAAAAAAAAAAAAAAAAAAAAAAAAAAGAAAAGGCTTCATATCTATTTGCTTCCTGACACAATCAAATGGCTGTGTGATAAAAGACCTTTTGTGTATTGTGAGCAGGATGGAAGAAGAAACACAACATCTACACAAAATGCAGAGCGTGAAACAGTACTGGATTCCAAAAAATGTCACTATTATTGTAGAATTTTTTGACCATTTCTGTAGAACATTGAAATATAGGTAATTTTTTCCTTTTTTTTTTTTTTTAATAAGATATACTTTGAGGATAAAGATGCAGCTAAAAAAACACCAAATTATCTCTCGACATTACTCACATATATATATATTTATAAATACCACATTTGCTTTAACGAAAGCTGTTGGGAAAGTTCACATTTTTCGGGGGCTTAAGTTACATTAATGTGCTTTTGTCACAAAACAGAACAAAAAACGAGCCATAACACTAGCTTACTTGTGGATGTGTATACTAGTGAACTGGGGGCACTGTACACGGGAGATCCCTCCTGGTTTGCCTGGCACAGCAGCACCCTGCCTACAAGAAAGAGAGAGAGAGTGGTATCTGGTTTTGGAACACTTCAACTAAACCTCAGTTTTTTATCTCAAAACAGAAATAAAGTCACAACCGGTGAGAAAGTCACAGCAGCGCAGTGAAGCAGGGGAGCTTTTCGCCCTTTGACTTCAAGGCAGAAAGAGCCCCAATAAACATGTACAATTTGACAATGGAAAAACAAAACACAGACATGCTCCAGAATCCCAACCCCCTTGTTATCCCGTGGGGAAGCTGGTGCCCTCTCTGAATATTCCCAGCACCTCGCCCAGCGCTCTCTCTCCCTCTCAGCCCTGTCTCTGGATCTTTTGCTGCCCATGGGAGCATCACCCACACCCGCCCACCCACCCATCCCACCCGAGAGCTGCCTCCTCAGCTCCCTGTCCTGGCTGGAATGAGGCTCCTGGAGCCAACACCACAGGGAAATCAGACCACAGCACTGCCATGGACAGACCAGGAATGATCTCTGTGACATCACTTGCATTAACACTGGTGGCAAGCGATGACTAATATATAATACTGGTATATAGTTCAGTATTTTTTTCTCAGAAATACATAAATATAAGCTCATTTCCAGGGAATAAGCGGGATTCAGGACTAAGAACAGAACCAAACAAAAGAAAAAAAATTAAAAGAAAAAAAATAAAAGTAATAACCAAATGAATTGAAACCAGTATTTTTGCAATGCTCATTTTGAACAAATGACACAAGTTTAGGCTTGTTTCCTGTGGGGTTTTTTAATGAACTTAAATAAAATGCCTTAGTCTTTCTTAAAATTATATTTTAGCAGTCTTAGCTGAATACAGATTGAACATTGACCAGAGGTAGAAACAACTGTACTTTCACATGAGGAAAAAAAAACTTCTGCACTTCTGGAATAGAGTCTGTCAGGAAAAGCAGGATATGACACATCTGGTTTTGCAGATATATGCGCATATATCTGTATATACACACATGGAATTATATATACACACCCCCTGACATACTTGAAGCTGTCAGGATTTGTGAATCACACAATTCAAAGGCATTAAATTTATATGGAGATTTGTGAAACTTCAGTGGTTGTGCATTGACATACGATGCAACTCCACAGAGTTCAGTCCAACACGTTTGAAAGGACCAGATTCCTTACAAGTGGTAGGCAGGTTTTCCATTGAGTATTACAAGTACAATTCCCAACTTGCATTCAGTTACCAGAGCAGAGTTCTTTCAAAAAATATTTTTAAAACATTTTCTGCCATTAACCAGTTCTCTGATTATTGCTTGCAACTGTCAGTTGAAGGAGAAATACGGGAAACGCTGAATAAAAATAATTCTTGTCATTTATGCAATTTAGCTAAGACTGTGACCACTGGAAATCTCGTTAATTACTATGCTTTTTAACTTCCCAGACAACAGCACACCCTTAAATGACAGAATTTAGAAATGCTTGCTTTTTTCCAGCCATTCACTACTAAAATGAAAGAGAAAACAAGCTAATTTTCCCCTCCCTTAAGACAGCAAATATTTGATTATATCAATATCTATCCCTCTCAACTTTCTAAAAAATCCACAAGTGGAAGCTGTCAAATGAACATGCACCCATTGAGATCCTAATTAAAAGCAGTATTTTCAGACTACCAAATAAACAGGCTCAATCCACACACTCATTTGACACCAGGAATGTGTACTTTGGAATATTAATGGATATAACACCAGAGAGGCTTCAAAACTTGGGCTATTGCAGAAGGCTGAAAATGAAAGTGAGGTGAAGACCCAGAGGTTCATCCAGCTGAGAGAAACACATCAGGAAAATCAGGCACTTTCATTAGGTTTTAAGAATAGATAACTATAATGACTTGAAGCATAATTTGTAAATATAGAAACAAAAAAGCTTTTAGAAATCAAAGATGGCAGCTTGTGTACATTATTCACCATAAATCCCAGATGACACTTTGCTTGCTCCATGTTCCATAGGTATTTTCCAGTTCTTACATTTTTTCAGATTTCATCTCCACAAATCTCATTTTCCCTACTCTAGTCTTCTAATTTTTAATGAAAGTACTTCAAAACAGATGCTTTTTTCATCTGTGCTACTAGAGTGTATTTAATTTCTTGCATAGAGCCTTCTAATTATATTTTGACAATCTGCCTACGAATTTGTACATAAAATTAACACTGATAACTAAAACATTATTATTAGATTTTGTTAGAAAAAACATGAACTTTTTTTAATCTACTTTTGTAAGAAAAGATTATTTCTGCTGCATCTAATTTTGGTATTAAAAATATTTAAATTGTGATTAATACAACTGAGGGAAGACTGAATTATTTACAATAAGACCTTGGATAAACCTCAGAACACAGAAACAATCTATAAATTCCCCAATGGAAAAAAATAAAATTCCTCCAGAATACTAAATTCTAGCATGATGGAATAAAGGGGTTTTTAATATAAAGTTCGTAACATTTCTGTTCGAACTGTTAATAATATCATGGAGCTGATGAAGTTCAGAAAATGTCAGTCATACGAGAGTTCATCTTTATTTCTCCAATCCCATCTTGTCCCAGCATATTTCAGGCTGATGTTTTCTCCTTGAGAATCAGCTCACACCCCTGCAGAGATCCACCTCTCAGCCCTGCCACTCGGGCTGGGGACAAAACCCCACTTTTCAAGATCAAAGACTATTCCCGCTCATCCTTCTCTTCCTCCACTGTTTTCTCCTACAGTTCATGATTAAGAACATGCTGTTTGATTAGGTCCTTTGTTGAAGCACTGTAGTTATTTTGAGAAATAATTACTCTAAAAATATGCAGGGCCGTGGAAAAAAAAAATAAAAATTATGCGAAGTCATTGATATTTTTAGAATACTTAAAATTCAGTTCCCAGTGGTTTCAAGACATCTGATTAAATGTATTCTCCTGATTTTTTCATACTTTCAAAAATAAGTTTTTGTGTACAGTTATGTACATGATTCATATAAACTAATCTACAGAGCATAAGTGGAAGTACCAAATATACAGGTGATGCTGCACAGAGCACTCACTGCCTCAGGCAAGTCACAGCACAAAATTCACTGTATTTCTCAAATACTCAGCCAAGTAGTACCCAAGATCAACAACAGGTGGACTCTCCAGTAAATTATAAAGGATTTTAAACCACTTCTGTTAAAAATAGCTTTTAACTGGACCCACTGGGTATCCAGCACTACAGACAGCTTAAAAGTAAAGATCTGGAGTTAGTTTTAAAGAATTTACACAATTAGCAGGAATCTTTCACGGCATTGTTTGTGGAAGTATAAACTGAAATAACATAAAGGCATTCCATTAGCCAAAATCAGGCTGCTGATCTAAAATCACCAGTGGTGCAAGGCCCTGGTCATGGGCACAGCTCTCTCCTGTCACAGGAAGCAGGTGAAACTTCTAGAAACCTGTAGTACTGTGATGGTTTAAAGTTTCTATATCATTTTTGAGAACCTGAGCTTACAATTCACCACCTCACCATGGATAGGGCTTTAGTACTTTAGGTCATGAACCAAGAGTTTTCAATTTACTGTTTTTTGGGGGGTTCACTAAACAGAAGAGGACAGAAGCTGCACTGTAGAGCTCCATAACTTACTGGGGGTTTGCCCTGGGACATAAAGTGAAACACAGGGGAAAACTGATTTTCTACACTCACTCCAGGATTCCTAAAGAACCACACCTTCAAATAAAGCTCTCTGGACAACTCAAAAGTGACAGTGGTGCTGAGTTCTCTGGTGCTGCCACCCCAGCAAAAGGGTAATCACAGGAGCATTTTCAGTGGCAGGAACTCATCAAGCCAACATGCAGAGCTGGTCTTCACTAGGTATTAGTGCACAAGTAGCTAAAATGAGAATTTGTAACATAGGAACTAAGGAACTTACTACATGCAAGGAGATTTAGTGATGATTACATTACTTTAATCCATTGTACTCCCAGCTTTCCAGGTAAAGCAGCTGCTTTTTATGCATATTTATCATATTGTGTCACCAAAAGGAGCCTCTTACTGCTTCTCACAACTAAGTACCAGTTCATACACTCTATAATACTATTTACCACAAAAAAATCCAAACAAAACCACAGGAGAAAGTTAATAAAAACTAATGTTATTTATGTCCCACTTTGACTAGATTATTATAAACTGATCAGTGATTGTTATTTCATTTTCTCCTTCTCCCAACCCGGCTGGGGAGCCCAATCTTCCTCCTGGGTTAGTTCTGGTCATTCTGATCCCTGTTGTCCTCCACACCTTTTGCAACAAGTATTATTCCTATACATTCCAGGGGCCAATGCATGAAGAAAACTGTAAAGCTGCATCTGTCATGAACAAATAAGGAGATTTGCAAGTGTATCAAAGATCCTCATAAGCAATCTGTGTCCGCTCTTGATTTGCTGCTCTAACAGTGTAATTTAATATTGGCCTTTTCAGACAGAAATAGCATTATCTTTGTTTTGGTCTGAACTATTGTTCTATGATGGATTATTTCAAAATCACAGAAATGGATCAGAAACACCTAATAAAAAGCTCCTGTTGTACAGTAATAGCTTATGTTAGCTTCTATTGTCCCTTCTGACTAGGGAATTTAAAGAGAGCCTCTATAGCCTCTGTCTTGAATACATAACAGTTGTTAAGTGCTCTCTTAGCCCTTCATTATCAATAGTCAAACTACACAGCCTTAGTATGCTTTTAAATATGCTGTTAATTCAAAAAAAAAGGGTTTTGTGAGGGCCTTCAGTTATTTGGGATCTCTATAAAGGAATAATACTCTTCAGATTTTAACACAACCACTCAGGGAGGACTGTGTGTTTCATCCATTATTAACAAGGACTAAAGTAGCAAAACCACACACCTCCTTTCTTCCAATATGCTAAAAATACAAATAAAACCTATGTTTAATCCCACCAAAGTTTATATATATATAGCTTCAGTTAAACAAGAGGGTAGGGAGAAGAACCTAAAGTAGTTGATATCTAAAGGTGAGTTC